TCCATTTCTTGAGACCTTTCAAAATACTTCCTTTCCTATGTAGAGACAATGTTTAATATTAATTTTATGTTTAAAAAAAAAGCCACCACATTGAACAATTTTTATATTATTATAGCAATATATAATCGAAGATTTCTGACGCCTAGTGGCTGAGCGGTAGCGCTTCGCGCTGTCGTGCCACAGGTCCCTGGTTCGATCCTCGGGCCGGGCAAGGTTCACTCAGCCTTTCATCCCTTCAGTGGGTAGATAAATAAGCTCCAAGCATGCTTGGGAGCTAAACACTAGGGGTTCCGCGTTCGGCTGACCACCTGACCGGAACATCTGCTCCTGCACCCCAGAGCCCAAGGTCTAGAAAACTGAGATGGGCACAGTAGGCCTTGGTCCCCTAGGGTTGTCACGCCACTGAGTTTTTATATTCAAAGATTTCAGGCTTTCAATGTTAAGAAAAATGAAACATAACAGAAAATATTTTTAACTGTGTGGCAAGATTATATTGAGATAAATTAAAAGAACAAAGAAACAAAAAAAATTCATAACAATCCTGTCACTGGATATGCAAATAATTAAAAAAATATATTACAGTAGGGAACCGATTATCCGGAACGGTCGGGACCATCGCTATTCCGGATAACTGATTTTTCCGGTTTTCTGAATCGCTACAAAAAGCCGTTTTTTTTATTGTTAAACCCTACTAAAAAAAAAAATATTGGAAATAATCTTAAAAATAAGAAAAAACGATGAAGTAATACACTAATGATTATTTCCAAAATGATGGTAAGGTAAAAATCTTGAAAAAAAGAAAGAAAAATCGTAAATCTTATGAGGAAAAAACTTTTAAAAAATGGCGAGAAAATTTATCGAATTTCGTTCCGGTTTTTTGGTTTTCCGGTTTTCTGATTTCCGGATAACGGGTTCTGTACTGTATATAACATTATAACGATGATTAGAAAAAATTATGAGTAATGTAGATGAGATTTTTAAAAAAATATTCTTAGAGAATTTTTTTCCATAACTCTCTCCAAAAAAATTTTTTCTTTTTAAAAAAAAAAAAACTCAATGTAAAAGTTTTAATTTTTAAGCGCTAAATGGAGAAATTAATACAAAAGTTTATATGCAGTATTTTTACGAGAGAAATAGGTATTATTCACATTAAAAATAAATTTATTCCATAAGGAAACTGTTTTTAAGCTAAATTTGGGATTGACAATAATAAGGTTAGATTTTCAACACTGTCTAGATAGATTATTAATTTCAATGAATCCCAAATAAAAGAAAAAAAGCATTGGAAATTAAATTTAAAAACTTAAAATTATAATTTTTATTAGAAAGAGTTGAGGAACTATGTACATAAATTTCACTTGCATAAAAAATATGAAAGTTACTGAAAAACATTGGTTAGTTTTTACTTACATTTTTATTAATTGATGGTTTAATTTTCTTTTCATCTAGCACTTCATCAAAATGGTCCCAATTGACAGTAATTTTAGTATTTAATAAATTAACTTGCTTTTTTTCTTCAAATTCACTAATGACTTGTTTTACAGCTTTTTGTGTAGCTTCACGTACAAGAAAAGCAAGATCAGCACCACTGAAATAAAAAATACATATATATAATGTCTGTAACTATATCCTACCACTCATTTCTGCAGTGACATGAATCTCATTGAATACGCAAAAAATTTCGACTTCTTAATTTCAGTTTTAGACTTGAAAATAATAATAAAACATTTAATGGTGAGTTTATAAATTCATACAGTTAAAGGATATTATTTTCTTTTGATATCTTCATAAAAATAAAAAAACATTTTTCTTCACAATAATAAGATTACCTTTAATTTTTAAAACTAGACATAATACATACCTTGAAAAGAAATACATCCTTCTACATTATCACTCTAGCCACCACAATAATAAGATAACTTTTATATTCAAAAGCCGGACATAATATCCTCAAAATATATATAATCCTTCCTCATTTTCATTCTATGCAACACAATAACAAAATTACTTTTATATGCAAAAGTTTGAAATCCGGCATTCTATAGAATGCTAAATGAGAAACCGGCAAAGTATAAAATTGTCTGTGGCCATGCATGCTAAAAAAGGTGATGAAATGGATATTTTGTGCACTATTTGTTTCTAATCTGAAAATAACTGCGACTTAAATGTGAACTTTTTATATGAAAATTTTGTTTCCCTTAATAAGAAAGGCATAAATTATGTTTTGTACAACTTTCATTTTTCTTTACGCATTTTGAATAAATTTTTTTTAAAGGCACTCTCATTATTTTTTCAGAATA